TGGTCCGCTGTTTTTCTACTTGTTTGTGCAGAACATTTTTTTATCACACAAATTTTTCCTGCATGCAGTTCTAATTGTTTTTTATTAATATTACTTCTTCTGCATTTATAGTGGTGATTGGGAATTAAAATGCAGAACAATCTGTATTTAATCTCTCCTGCTTTTCTTCTGCATTTAAACTGCATTTCATTCAAAGCCATTGTCCGAAGCAGTTAGGATATTTTACTATATCTATATAACTCTATTACTTTCATAATCTCAATTTATAAGTTCGGTGATGACCAATCAAATATATACCATATAAACTGAGAAGAAATAATGGGCAATATTATGTTGTAATGTGGCTTGCATTGAAGTTCAGTATACAGTGTACACGCATCCAACATAAGTTTGCATGTTTTCTGTCTCTCTATCTTTTTTTTTTTTGAAAATTCAGTGTCTCTCTATCTTCTAATTATATGGTTTTAGTGGTGTGGAATTTGAACGCATAAATATAAAGGAAATCTATATGACTTTTAGAGGAATCCAAGGATTCAACAGCCAACCTCTCCCCCTTGTGACTTTGAAAAAAGAGAAAAATAAACAAGTCAAATTAGGCCAAATGATTTTCTCTTAAAATTATGTATTAGGTATCTAATATCCTAACTTTAGTTATGAATTTCTTTTTGTGCAACTTAGTTATGAATCACCATATAGTTAATTGGATAGGCTAGTTTCGTTTCAAAATCTATTTTTTTTTTCAAAATCTAATTGTTATCGAGATCCATAAAAGAAGAAAACGATGTAAAACCAGTACTTTGTTTTTTAATTTTTTGTGCTTGACTGAATGTCGACTATAATATTAATATATATCAGCGATATGAATTTTCTTCTCAGTCAAGCTACTGTATAAACCAATCAGATGGAAAAATTATAATCACTTTTTAATATATTTACTATAGTTACTGTTTAATCTAAGGGAAAATAGTTTATTTTCTTCCTCATGGTTATTCACGAGTAAATCATTTAATGACCTTTAATTTTTTTTTTATTATTTGTTTACTCCATTATTTTTTCTTCTAATTACTCTAATTTATTTACTCTCATTTAGTCTGTTATTTACCAATCACAACCAAAATCCAATCACCGATCGAGTTAGCAAGTTATATACAGAGAGAATACAGTATTTCAAAACTTTTGAGGTTAGGGATGTCCAAATCTATTTAATATACTAGACTGGAATCTTTTAAATTGGTGGTTTTTTATATTAATGGAATGGTAAATGAATTGTTGTTATTATTATAGTAATATTTTAGTGTCATTTCAAAGATATACGAGTCAACGAATTTAAGTATTTCAAAAAAGGAAAATGCGAATTTGGTCAAACGTACATAGTACATTTACATAAACAGTTCTGCAAATTTTATTACTTTGGAAGTAATTGATTTTATTGACTGTTAAAGCGATATTTAGTTTCATTCTTATCTCCCAAAACTGTTACTTGCTAAGAGTTGATAAGATTGTCACTAATTCATAAATCAAGGAATCAAAATGAATTAATAGCTTTAAATACAAAAGGAATTATAGGAGTTGAAGAAACTGAAATACATAAAAACATGGGTTTGACTTTTGACATATTCGTGACAAAAAAAAAAGACTTTTGACATAATAACCTCAAATGTTTTTCTTAAAAATTATGGAAGATGTTTACAGCTTTGAAATAGTTTTGAATAACAAATGTGTATTAAATAATAACTATAAATACTTAATAAGAAACCCAAATTAATAACATGGTGTGTTTTTTTTAAACCGAAAATCTAGCTCTAAATATTAGTCTCCCTAATTTTCATGAAAATCACATCTACAAAATCTTGATAAATACGGTGATTTCAGAAACCAAAACAAAGTAGACATATTTCTTTCCAAAACTAAAACAAATCTAAAAACTACCAAAATCAATTAGGGTTGTTTAGATTTATTGACTAAGAAAACAAGAGAGAGAGAGAGAGAGAATGGATGCTGGTCAATGTATATAAATACTCTGTTTTCTAAACGGACAACCCCAAAAGGAGCAAAACAAAACAAAAAAAAAAAAAAACAGAACAAGAGTACGAAAAAATAATGAAGACAGTGACAATGCTTTTGTGTCTTATCACGATGCTCTTAATAGACTCCGCATATTCCAACACGGTGATGCGTCTCGACATGGCGCACCGCGACACACTCTCACCGAAGCCTACACCTTTCCATCGCATTGAAGACATTATGGGCATGGACCAGAAGCGTCACGGCCTCATTTCTCAGAAAATAAAAACAAAGAAAGGTGGAGCGAGAATGTCTCTGGGATCAGGTTTCGACTTCGGGGAAGCGCAGTATTTCTCGGAGATTACGGTCGGAACGCCGGCAAAGAAGTTCAAGGTGGTGGTGGACACAGGGAGCGAGCTGACATGGGTGAACTGTAGGTTCCATGGGAAAGGAAAGGAGAAGCGTGAAGTCTTTAGAGCAGAGGAGTCATCGAGTTTTAGAAAAGTTGGATGCATGACAAAGACTTGTAAGGTTGATTTGATCAACCTCTTCTCCCTCACCACTTGCCCTACCCCTCAAAGTCCATGCTCTTATGATTACAGGTACATGTCATATCAAGAATCTCTCTTTCATTTCTGGTGATTGCATTCTTGATCCATAGTCAAAGTGTGATTAGGTAGAGTTTATTTAAGGATAACAACCTGATTAGCTTATTTGTAATGACTTATTTAATACCAAAGAGATATTTTGTGTGTTTCATTTGGTGGTGGTAATTACAATATAGTAGGTAGAGACTAATCAGGAGATGATTTGTATAACCGTATGATTAAATGTGTAGTGGTTATATGCCAAAGAGGAAATAATGTGATGGTACATGAATGAGAGAAGAAGAGGGACCTCTCTCTCTGTTTTCTCCAACTATCTAGAGAACTTGAAGGAGACATATATATAGATGCAAGTGCATGTAAGGGATAAGATATGTGAAATTAAATGTGTCTTGCTACTATTCATTACAATACATAAATGTCACTTATTGTATAGTTAAAACCAACTCTAGCCTCTCTTATTGTATAGCTAAAACAAGTGGCGGTCCAACATTTTTTTTTCTTGATGTCCTAAACTCGCTTAAAACTTTATGCATTTGTTATTCGTGTATTTTTTTTTTATCGTGTTCATGTAACTAAAATTATTATTTAAAATCATGATGTCCTAAGCAGTCGTTTACCTGGCTTATGCTCCGGACAGATCCTGGTTAAAACCTAATGCAGATATTTTTTCATGTGTTATGCATTCTTACTTCTTACTAATACTAATTTGGATCGTATGTAACAGATACGCAGATGGGTCAACAGCACAAGGTGTATTCGGTATGGATACATTCACAGTTGGCCTCACCAATGGTAGGGTAGCTAGTATCCCTGGCGTACTCATTGGCTGCTCCACAACCGGTACCAGCTTCCATGGAGCCGACGGTATCCTTGGCTTAGCCCTTAGCGATTACTCCTTCACTTCAAAAGCCACTAACATCTTCGGAGGCAAATTCTCATACTGCCTCGTTGACCATACCTCCAACAAAAACATCTCCAACTATCTCATCTTCGGCTCCACCCCCTCGTCTACCACCAAAGCCCCCGCAAGAAGAACCGCTCGGCTTGATCTCAATCTCCTTCCTTCCCTCTACGCCATCAACATAGTTGGAATCTCCATCGGAGATACCATGCTAAACATCCCTCCCATAGTGTGGGACGTAAAAAGAAGTGGTGGAACCATCTTGGACTCAGGAACTAGCCTCACGTTATTAGCTGACGCAGCGTACAAGGCCGTGGTTTCAGGGCTAGAGCGTTACCTTGTTGGTGTAAAAAGAGTCAAACCAGAAGATGTACCAATAGAGTATTGTTATGATACGAGCAAGTTCGACGACAGAAAGCTGCCGCAGCTGTCGTTTCATTTCAAGGGTGGTGCTCGTTTCTCGCCTTTTCGTAAAAGCTACCTAATAGATGCTGCTCCAGGAATCAGGTGTCTAGGGTTCGTGTCGGCCGGGGCTCCGGCTACTAATATCATCGGGAATATAATGCAACAGAATCATTTGTGGGAGTTTGATCTTGCGGCCTCGACCTTGTCATTTGCTCCTTCTACATGCCTTTAGATACCCATTTATATTGGTGTTTTAATACTAGACAATATTAGAAAAATTGTTAGTGAAAGAATAAGAAATGTTATCAAAACTTATTAAGGCATCTTCACTGGCTAAGATCATTTTTTTTCCTAATGAATGAACAAAAAATGAATTTGCGTTTCACTCATTTTTCCTTTTTAAAAATCGATATTTAAATATATTTTGTTATTAATACTTATTATTATTTTATAATTTTACAAATATTATCCAAAATAATTTTCTTTACCTATATCTTTATAATATACATAAATTTAGTTTTAAAAAAAAAAAATTAAATTGGAGAAAAAGTTTACAAGATATTTTCAACATGACGCAAGTAGTACTGTCAAGAATGAATTTCATAGGATGAGCTCAGGGTGATGCAATCAAACGTGAATCCGCATAAGACAAGTAGAATTGTCGGCTGTAATATCGTCTGTGTAATGTTTCTCATAATTTGTAATATCATAATTAACCAGACAAAAAAAACTATTCACTCAATTCCCATTTAAAATAAAAGAATATAAAATTATATATAGAAATTTATAATTATATTATGAAAATATTAATAAGTTATTAAAGCATAAAGCAAAAATACTGAATTGTTTTTATAAAAAAACTATATAAAATTGAAAATTAATTTATAAATAAAAAATTGTAATACTAAAATGAATTTGTGAATATTGTTCCTTCAAATTTGAAGGCATACTAGTAATAAATTCATTTTCCTCTCAAAATAATGTAATATTGGAGAATATATTTTTTATTCAATGTTTTCTCTCAAAATGAGGGACAACTAAAAACAGCCTTAGACATCAATTATTTTAGTTATAGTTATTTTAACTTAACAAAATAAAAATAGTTTGGGTTTACTAAATAAAAATAGTTTGGGTTTTAGTAAATTCTGGTGAGGTTGTGGTTTCGTTTTTTTTTTCCAGTTCTGGTTCGGTTTTCAAGTTTAAGATAATATGCGCAAAACTATTGATAGATGGAATGTTTTTGTCTCACCTTGCATCTTCTTCCGTGAAACGCATGTTGGGCTGCTTCTGTCTGAGAGAATGGAGATTGCCTCCGCTGCAGAACTTTATGATCAAAAGCAGTAGAACGTCTCAGTCCCAAAGTTAGAATATAGCGTCGATAAGAAGGGATGATCTAGCAGAGATAGGAGGATCTCTCTTTCGGTCTGAACCCTCAGCAACTTGTTTCTACTGGCCAACGAGGCCTTATCCATCACCTTCATTGCAAAAACCGCATTGGTATCAGAGAGACAGACACTGCCTAGCCTATGTCTCCGTACCCTAGACATTTCATAAGCCTGAAGCTGTCTAGACCTATTTGAGGGCCTTTTGAAGTAACTGAGTTAATGGCTTCCCACCTCACGTCTCCTCCCGTGTGAGGCTTAAAAGGTGTAGCTGGACCCTCCGAGTTATCACCGTAGCCAAACTCTGCATTTTGTCTAGGAGCTCTCTTGTTGTCTTGAGACTTTGTCTTCTGTTAGTGATGAGTTCTGGCGCTTAGGGATTGTATTTCAGGTGTTGTTAAAGGAACAATATTCTTGGGATCGTATGAAGATATTTAAGAGCATTTTTCTTGGTTCCTGAGCTATCACTCTAGTTGGTTCCTCTAGTTGAGGAATAAAGTTCAAGAGACTTTGAGGGTTGATGATGTCTGACGAGAGGATCAAAATGTGGGCTGTCTCCTAGTTAAGCGAAAATGGAGAGACTTAGGTTTTGGATTAATCTCAATGGAGAAACAAAAAAACAATTGAAAGAAGAGGACTTTAATTGGCATGTCTTTTGTAAAACGTTGGTTTATTTCCTTAGAGAAAGATGAGGAAATGTTCTTTGCCTCTCATCTCTCAACGCATGTTTTTTTGCCGTTAATTCCTCTCGTCTAAATTAACATTTTTTCATATTATCTAAATGGTCCATTGACACAGACATATCTTAACAAAATATAGTTTTTTTATTAAGTTTGAAGTATCACTAACCTATAGAAGTATTCAGAATAATCTTCGAATTATGATTATGCAACACAGATCATATTTTCCAATTTAAAAACACATAATGTTGTTTGAATTTAGTTTTTACTGCATACCATGATACACATTTTAACTTTGTACATTGTAGAAGCTGGTTAAATATGCTTAAATAAAGTAAGTATAACACTCATGTTATATCAAGTATATAGGATTGTACAATGTGTACTGGGCAAAGTGACTTTGATTCTCCACATTAGAACTTAAAATTTGCAAATACAGTAACTGTCAATGAATACATATTTATATTTCGGTTGTCAGGTAGTTGGTATCTATTATATAAAGGAGTGTTTCCCTCCTTCTCAAGGGTGCCACATAGGCTCCATGTCATTATGTCCACCTAGGATTTTTTGTGCCACATAGATAAGTCATTTTAAATATTAATTTCTTTCACAATCATCTTCTCTCTTTTTTTTTTTTTTATTCATACACTCTTATAATAGTTTGAATCTCTAGCAGGATTTTCAAGGAGTGTCCTCATCCATATGATAAGCAGAGGAACCAACTTGGCAGAGAATTGGGGTTTGGGTCGAAGACAAATCAAGTTCTGGTTCTAGAAAAGAAGAAATCAGCTTAATGTTATGTGTGTTAATCTCTCTCTCTCTCTC